TACCAATATTAAAAAACAAATAGACCTTCCTTGGAAAAGATTTGAATGTTGCTAGGAGGCATCCATAGCATATTGTGCACATTGGAAAATTTTGTCTAACTGCAAAAAAATAAGGAGGCACCCCCCCCCCCCAAAATAGCAGATGTATAGAGTGGTTTTTTGTCTTTTTAGTGTTTGGGCACCCATATTTTATTGTTGTGGTTAGTGTGTCTTTTCCACTAGAAGAGTTTAGAAATTGCAATCCTCTTGGTATGACGGTTGATAAAAGTATATACGACATTATCAACGAATTTTGTATTTTGTATACGTTCTCAATTTGGTTTCTGTGTACTAAATTAGGATGGATTGTGACTACAAATAAAGTTAGTGTTACTGGTAGATTTGACCAGGAAAAAACTAATTTGTGGGATCTGGAAGGGTGGTGTGTGTGCGCGTTTTAGCAATATCATCTCCTTGAGCATACCTTCTGCTAGGTTACTAACTTGGCTGGGAGTAGAGCTAGTACCTACTAGCTCTCTGTATAGCTTAGTCTCCAAAACTTAGTATCTGCAAAAGCAGAAGGAGGTGAGCTTGTGTTTGGAGACCAGGATTAATTCTTTGGCTGCACTGTTTGAAGTCTCCTATGGATGTTCTTGTTCACTTTTGATCATGTCTGCTCTGTCTGAGCTCATGTATGAGGAGGTAGGGTTTCTGCCAAGTTTCTGACTTGGTTTTAGGACAGAGATGACAGCTACTAGGTCCCTTGGTTGTAATTTGCAATGAGAAAGGGCACATATAGAGCTAGAACCAGGTTGCTAACTGGGGCTGGCTACAAGGGGGTGGATAACCCCTCTGTTGCAGCTGCTCCAGTAACTCTCAGTTTGTTTCCAGGCACAATTCAAAGCACTGGTTATGAGCTTTAAAGCCATAGTCAGCTCAGGTCCAGGCTATTTGGCTGACCATATCTCCTTGTATGAACCTTCCCGGGCCGTGGGAGCTTCAGGAGTGACACTTCTCTCGGTCCCACCTCCATTTTAAGCTCGGTTCTCAGTGGATGCCCCTCAATTCTGGAACTCCCTGCCCAGGGAACCAGAATCACCCCCTCCCTGCTATCCTTGCTAGAGTATATTTAGAGGCATACCTGCAGCAAATGCAAATTGGTTAGCCAGCTGGAAGAGAAAATACAGTAGCATGTATCAAACTCTGAAGGACCATGTTGCAAGTTTGGGGCTGTATGATCAATTATGAGCTCTTTGTTTAATCAGCAATTATGAGGAAGGAGAACAGGAACAACAGTTGTACTCAGAAGGTGTGGAGATCAGCTTGGAGGGATCTATGTAGAGAATTACTACGTAAGTTTCTAGAAAAAATGTAGCATGATAATGATTCCTTTCCTCCTTGGTGTTCTGCTTAGAAAGCAAGTATGCTGGCAAAGAAAGCCTTCTCTGCTACATCTAGAATGGGTATGCAGTGAGCTCTGTTTTTATCAGCTAGATACATAATACTTTTTTGTTTTGCTGGTTAGTAATTTTTGTGGGTGTATTTACAAGACTGATTCAGAATTAATATTTGGGGAAGTGTAGTCAGAACAGCAGTTGTGATATTTCCCTTCCTTCCTTCAACCAGTCAGATAAGCCAGCTACTTTGAATTGTGAGTATTTTGTAAAGCAGGGTCCTCAAACTTCTTAAACAGAGGGCCAGGTCACAGTCCCTCAAACTGTTGGAGGGCTGGGTTATAATTTGAAAAAAAATGAACGGATTGCTATGCACACTGCACATATCTTATTTGTAGTGCAAAAAACACTTTAAAACAATACAATAATTAAAATGGAGAATAATTTTTACAAATATGAACATTAGTATTTCAATTGGAAGTGTGGGCCTGCTTTCGGCTGATGAGATAGGATTGTTGTTGTTGTGTGCTTACAAGTAATTTCAGACTTAGGTTGACCCTGAGCAAGGGTCAATGTCCCTCGGGCCTTAGTTTGAGGACCCCTGTTGTAAAGCTTCTATAGTCCTCGTGGAAACTGGGACAAAGGCATTATACGCACACACACAGTATTTTTACTTTTTTTTCCAGTTGACCAGAAATACTGAAATGGATTTGAAGTTCCCTGTATTCTTTTCCTTTCTATTTTGTGATCTCTATGACTCGCAAAAATGGATTATCTGTGCCTGCACAGTGCATTGTTCAGAAAGTTTGAGAGTTATTATACAAAGTTTTTCGCAGTAGCCCTGGCCATCATCTGTGCAGTATTCCCACCTAAACTCTCAGTTCTTTTTCATATGCTACTGCAGCAGTGACAACAGGAACTTTGCCTAGAGTTTCAACTTGTTTATTCAACTTCAGATTTTTCAGACTTAACTTTGGCTTCTCTAGTTTTCCCCTCAATTTTAGTCTTCCTTCGGCTTGATTTCCCTATTCAACCTGTGGTTGTTTGATGTTTCTTTGATTTGCATTCCTGGTTAAGGTCACTCTCACCCTTTGGGCTTTGTTGTCTTGCTGGCTTTGTTTGAGAAGTGCATCACCTGTGGCTGTAAAATCCCTGAGAAGGATGGCAGCTTAAAGTGTTTGCTTTACCTCGGAGAATCTCATGTAGTGGCTGCTTGTGCTCAGTGTAGAGCTTTCACGTCTCAGGTGTGATGCAACAGATTTTATGCTCAAGGCTCTGTTGATGAATGCATGCCAAAAACTTCCATGCACACTGAGAAGGTTTCATCTCATCCTTCTGTCAACCAGGATGGATTCATCTGCTTCTTTGTCTGTGTTGCAGTCTTGTTTAATGTCTGTTCCTGAATTGGGTTCTTTGGTCCATCTTGTAGTGAAGTGTTTGGTGACAGAATCTATGATTGTCCTCTCTAAGATTATAAAGACCATGTCTTAAATTCAAGAACTAGTCTTCTTGATGACACTGTGCTATTGTTCAAGCCCTAAGGACTCTGTATGCACTTCCCAGGGGAGTGAAATTAAAGAGCAGGAAACAAAAAGCACACTAGTTCTGTTGTAATGCAAATTGTTGAACTTTGGAAGAATTTTTAATATGGCTAAGCTTTGACTATATAATGTGTAGTTGAGAATAAATTGAAATATCATGGTAAATTTCAAAGATTTTAAAATAATCTATTATTGCATGGACATTGAACAATTGTTTAGGTATCTCTTTACTTTACATTCCCTTACTATCTGCCCGCCCTTCTCCCCCACCCCCGACCAATAACACTACTCCTAAACACATTAACTTGTAAGTCATAGGGTAGACCGAAGGGGATCAACCACAGAAATTGAGTCTAAAAAGCTCTGCACAAGTCAAAGAGGTTGGGAATCCCTGCACTAGATAGAGATGGAATTGCTGACCAAACAGTATAAGCATTAATAGAAGGAATGGACCAAAGATAAGGATAATCATTGAGTGGACTCTGTCCAAATGATGTCTTTGCAAGGAGCATTGGATGTTCTCTTTCCATCTCGACAAGCATTGACTGAACGCACACGTTGTCTTGTATCAGAGCATGGCAAGTTTTCTATTCATGTTTCTGATAGATGTTATTGCTTTTCAAAATGTATTGAAGTAGTATCGGTAGCTCAAAACCCTTCACTACAATGAACTCCTCTGAGTATTGTATCTGAAGGGGAAAGTTTGGAATCTTCCCCAGTAGTTGTTTCTGTGACTTCTCCATGGCCTTCTCAATTTACTGTGCCATCTCTACCAGCTCTGAAACCTCAATTTACTGTTCCATTTCTTTCCGTAGTCACCATCAATCTTGATAACTAGTGATGGATTCATAGTTACATGTATTTGTTTCATTATCCTTCCCCCCTCTTATACCTGTGTGTAATTTATCTTATGCTCTTTTGAAACTTGCATACAGGTAAATTTTGGGTTGATATATAAGTGAATGTCAAATTAGCCATGCCATTTTATTTCTAATTTCGATCTGTGGTTACAAAAGTTGGATAGTGCACAAAGCTGATAAGAAAATCAGCTCATTTGAAAGAGAAGCATTCTGCAAATACCATGAGCAAATCAAGTCTGAACTATACTTAGCAGCACAGTGGTTAAACTGAAATTGTCATACTTTGAACATTAGAAGACATGGTTCACTAGAAAAACAATAAGGTTTGTTTATGTAAAAGAGAGTAGGAAAGGAAGAAGACCACATTACAGGTCAATAGACTCAATCAGGGAAGCTACAACCCAGAATTTGTAAGCCCCAATACTAGGATTGTCTGGAAGTTCCTCATTTGGTTTCCCTAAGTCAAAGTTAACTTGAAGGCAGACATCATCATCATCATCATCATCATCATCATCAACAACAACACATTCTTAATTGCTCATGTTTCAGTGGATTTCAAATTAGCACCCATCTTACCTTCAAGAACTCTGCTTCTGTTTTGAAGGATGATATAGTGTCAGTTACTTATAGTATAAGCTGCCATGATTTTACATTTATGTATGCCACATAATGTAGAATTCTGCTGTTATTTTTCCTGTTAAATATTTATCTGTAGTTAATCTTTTCAAATTCTATACAAGTTATGCACTGAGGAATTAGTTAACTTTCATGTCAAACTACATATTATATCTTGTTTTGTGACATCCCAGTTCATTTCTTTTCTCCATATCCATTCTATACAAAAGCTTGAACTGTTAAAATATTTCCATAGAATCTAAATTGTAATAGATACTATAAAATATGTGCATACTTGTTACAAAGTGCCATCTGGCGGCAGATGAGGACTTTTTGCATTAACAGATCTTTGGGGACTGACTGGTTCTGGGGAAGGGGCTTTAACAATGTGATTGATTTTCTATATTTGTTGCATTTAATAAATATTAGTTTAAACAATTCTTACATCAATTGATCATTTGGTTCTATTTTAAATTTTGCATGTTTTACTGATGTGAACCATTTTCTGTTTCACCTCAAGTTCAAGGCCCACAGAAAAAGTGGGACTATGTTTAAATTAATCAATCAATCGGCAAATATCAATTTGACAGTCAAATCTTTTTGTGTTTTAGCTAATTTGACAGGCCATGTAGAGAAGATTGGAATTGAAAACTTTGAGCTTCTGAAAGTTCTTGGGACAGGAGGTAAGAACTGACTTTCTTATATGGTATGGTGAGTATCTGGGTTGAGAATGTTTTGTAGTGAAGCTACACAATTCTACACAAACAATTGCCAAGTTATAGACATCTGACTTACATACGACTCATTGTTAAGATTGAGGGTGAGACAACAGGAAGCGAGATAAAACTATTGCTAAATCTATCACTCGGAAGGGAAATTCATTCCTGGAAAAGTTATGTTGGGAAAGAAGATGTCTCCACTGAAGCTTTCTCACTGATCCTTGTTTCTATAACAAGCCAAGTTTTTTCAAAATCCAATTATCAAGGGCTAGTGGGTGAGGTGAACAGAGACAGCAAAACAAAGTGCTAACCCTTCTCTAAGCTTTCTAAAACAATATATATTAGACTTACAAGATATATTTGTTTCAACGTACATACATATTCAACTCAAGAACAAACCTACAGAACCCAGGGCTACCTACCTGTACAGTGTTTCAAAAAATAGACTCAGTTTGAAATCGCCATATCTCTGTAACCACGACTTACCCGATAATCTTTCTACCTGAAAGGATGAGTATAATTTCTCTCCCAGTACACATACAGCCCCTAGCTTCAGTCATTCACAACACTGTGATCCTGCCACATAAGGCCTAATGAGGCATTTATTAGTAATCGTTTGAGACTCTATGTGGAATTATTTTTTAGATTTATTTCTGGCTCAGAGTGGTTAGTAAAACCTGGTAACTCATGGAACAATTTGTAACTTTTTGTGTAATTGTAACATGTTGCTATCTTGAACTATATTGCTTTGAAATAGGGTCCATCATTTTGAAACACCTGTACACCCATATACATGTTTAGAAAACAAAGGTTATGAGTCTTTATCAGGCAAGAGTGAGTGCAAACTTCCATTCAAGTATTATGTTTTTGTTATTACTGACTATGTGTAGTAATATACTCAGTCCTCATAGGACTGGTTTTGGCTTTAGATCTAGTTACAAGTCTCAGCTGGAGTTAACCACTGATGGACTGAAATGTACACTGTTCTTTTACTGCTCAGCAGTGGTTCAATGGTACCTGGAACTATTGATTGGCGATAAGGTTTTTTTCTGGTGGGGGGCACCAATTGATAAACTATCCACTACTTTTGCAAACTTCAGGATTCTACTGCTCCCTTTTGCTTATTAGCTGTTCTGTTTTAACTCCTAAATCTGTCAACTTTTCTCATTATCTATTTTGACTATTTGAAAGAGCTATAATAATTTTACATTTTTTAAGTCACAATCCTAAACATCATTCTGTATTTCCATTTAAAAAGTAAGTTTATTGAGTTCAGTCAGTATCTTTCTGTTATCAAAATAGCAATTTCTTGATCTGGTAATTTTGCTCAGCCTGAACTGGAAATCTGACAGAAATACTGTAATTATAAATTATTAACTCAAGTAACTGTACTTTAACTTGTCTAATATTTTTGTTCTAGCTTATGGAAAGGTATTTCTAGTAAGGAAAATAAGTGGCCATAATGCTGGCAAGTTGTACGCTATGAAAGTATTGAAAAAAGCAACAATAATTCAAAAAGCAAAAACAACTGAACATACAAAGACAGAACGACAAGTACTAGAGCACATTCGACAATCTCCATTTTTGGTCACTTTGCATTATGCTTTCCAGACAGACACAAAGCTTCACCTCATTTTGGGTAAGTTTTATTTTTAAGATATAGAAATATCTCCATTGAAATAAACAGAAAATAGCAGTCTTAATTATAGACAGTAGAACAATTGCAATGATCTGTCCTCAATCCGAGTCAGCATTTGCCCAAGGAAGTATGTGATTGGTGTGAAGGAGCTGTTGAGTGGTCAGTCCAGTATGGGTAAGCCATGGGGTTATCTGAGCAAGATGCATGGAAAAGCACAAGAATGATTGATAACAGGCCCAGAAGGCATACCACTAGGTCAGAGGTCCAGGTACATGAGCCAGCAGAAAATAAACAGCTTATTTAAAAATGTAGCCAGACCAACATCAAGGCAGAACAAGAACGTGAGGGTGTACTACCAGTCAACCAGATAAAATTGCCAGCATTGAGGCTGAGAGAAAATTGTAAGAATATTTGTGGATCTCAGGTGCCAAGTTACCATATTTCATCAAATCAAAGGCACACTTTTTTCCTGTGTAAGGGGCTTCAAAAACAGGATGCACCTTAGATTTGATGGCGCTTAAGGTTTGCTGGTTTTTGTTTTGTGTTTTAAAACTGCCTTGCCTCTGAGAGAGAGAGAGGAGGAGGAGGAAGGGCCCCAGCCCCAATGGTCAGGTCTGAAGGTGGGGGGGGGGGGGGGGGGGGTTAGGGGTTCAAACCCCCACCGAAATTTTTCAGGTAAAAAAAAACATGGTTTACTCATGAATTTTAACTAGATAACCAAATCCCCATGCTAAATCTATGAGATGCAAAAAATTAAGAGTCCCTCCAGAACTGCAAGCACTATCCCAAGCAAATATTGACAATTTATTCACACTGTCATTACTTGCAGCAATAGCCAATGTAGCAAAGCAACCAAGTGTGGGGGGGGGGGTTGAATGCTCTCATTAAGGAGGCCAGACTTGGTGGAGGTGGTTGACAGGGGCGGAGCTGCAGGCTATTGAAGGCTGCTCTGCCCCCTGCTGTGCTCTTTGCTTCAGCTTGAGCAGGTTTCCCCCCCCCCGAAATTTTCAACCCCTCCCCCTGAAATTTTCAACCCTCCTCGAATTTTTTTTCTGGTGACGGCCCTGCCAACGGTGCTGCCAGGTCCCCACCATTTTGTCCTTAGCCTTAGCCAAATGGTTGTTTACTGTCTGGCTGAGCTAAGTGCTGCTTCCTGCATCAACTGGTTGTCCATAAACTTAGTAAAATAGACTCATACCGACAAGATGACTTCCGGGTTTCTTCACAATCTCTCCTCAGCCCACTGGAAAGATTTCACTACAATGCTGCATTAAACAAAAAAGGTTTTGTAAATGCAGAGGAAATTCTAAAAAATATTCTAAGATTTTTTTCCACCTAAAATTTAAGCTTCAAAAATGAGATGTGCTTTACATTCAACGTCATCTTAGATTTGGTGATACATGGTAGTGCTTAATTAGGTCAGTGGTAGTACATAACTACATTGGTCTTGGCATTTCTTATTTCATCACTCAATGAAGAATGGGATGCATCATCTTCAACCTCTGGAGGCTCTACCAACTCCTGCTGGAGGGTACGGTTCCTTACTGCCCCAAATCCCATTTCTTTGGTCTCAGAGAGAGCTCCATTACCAAGAGCTGCAGCTTCCTACCAATCTGTCTCGTCCTCCTTTTTTGAGCAATTTAGGGGATGAGTTATGACAAAACCATTTCTGTTTCATAATATTACACAGTGAACGTGGTGTAGTGGTTACAATGTTGTTCTAGGTCTGGAGATAAGGGCTTCAATCATTGCTTGGCTACATAAATCCATTTAAGCAAGTGAAACCCCCTTTGAACAAATTGATTAACCTTCATCTATTCTCTCTCTTTCTTTTTGGATCTAAATTCCTCTCAAAAACCTTCTCTAAATACTAGAGACTCTCATTTAACTTGCACCCATGGAGATTAGTAGATTTCTGACAAATGTAGTTATTGGTTGCTTGAGAGTTAATATCAAAAATTGGCATAATACTATACTCCCATACTGTACCATACCACATCCTCTATTTTTATATTAATACTGAAATACAATAATTAAAAGCAAGTTAAGACAAATAAAGACAAATGTAACTTAATGTAACACATTTTACTATATTATAAACATTGATTTTATTTTTTATTTAAAGTGGGTTTTTTTGCTGATTGCTTGAAAGTTCCAGTTAACTGAGAGTCTGCTGGATGTAGTTGAAACTTCATGGACGTGAGAGAATCCTGCGAATATTTATTTTGTAAATGCAGGTGGAGAGGATAAAGAGGCTAAAGCTGTGGTTCTCAACTTGTGTTTTTGGGAGTTGAAGGACAAAACATCTGGGGACCCACAGGTTGAGAACCTCTGGGGTATAAGAGCTCCTTGTATTTTTACTGTGTCATCATTCTAAAGGGATTCTTCCCAAAGTGTTTTCATACTGCAAATGAGGAGCTAAAACCATCCATAGAATGAGACCCGATTTAAATTCACATGCATGTTATGCAAAGTAAAATGATAAATCAAAAAGAATATGAAAAAGCCATATTAGCAGCAGTTAATTTCCATAGTGAAACTATTCATTGTGGCACCAAGAAGGTCCTGGTTTTACTAGCTACTTACCTAGGGTGCATCTTGACAGGGCAGTTATCCCAGTGCAATTCAGAATAGGCACTGTTCCCCGCCATCCATGCTGTTGCACACCAAGGCTGGAGATGCACCTTTGAACCCAAAACCACACCAAAGTTCTTATAAGCAAAGCAGAAGAGTAATATAGCTTTAGCCAAAAGGATAAAGAACTTTTAAAAAGTAATAGTAAAATATCCATAAAAACAGTGTTAAACAAGGTAAGTAATCCAGTCACATCAAAGTCAAGAAGCAGGAATGTCCCAAAGTCCAGTACACAAATCCACAGGAACTAGAGACTGCAAGTCCAAAATAGTCCAGGAAATCAAAGTCCCACAAAGATACAGGATCAAACTTGAGCAATTAAATCCAAAGGCATGAACATGAATTCAAGGCAGGAAACATACAAGAATCTCAGCATGAACAGGAAGGAGTGAACACAAGAAATGGAGCATAAGACATGGTTGCACTTCAAATCCAAACGTTGGTCTCACTAAAGATTACAGTTTCACAGGCCCTATATTCACAAAGCCATGACAAAAGCATTCCGTTTCCCTTGGGTAACCTCACCCCGACCCCTCTTTTCTCTCAATTTTTTGGATCACCTCCTCCCTATTTCCAGGTGGCATTGATATATCTGACTCCTATCAAAGACTGTCTCCCTCGGTTTGCCAATTACTATATTCCTTTCACATTCTGACTGCTCAAAAGTTCCCTCAACCTCTTTGTCGGCCTGCACAAAAACATCTTTGACTTGCTGGCTAACTAACCCAGAATCCTTAGTTTCACTCTGGCTAACAGCATTCTTTTGACCAACATCCCTATTTCCAAACCTCTTGATAATTTAACTCTGGCATTAAAAGCTCTGCAGACTCTGACACTGAATCCTCTGCAGAATCTTGATCATTTACCTCGGGAGCCTGAGGCAAAGAAACAATTACAGGCTGAACCCCTATACATGCGTTGCCTCCCTCTACGTTATCTTAGAGGTGCCCACCAGGCAGCAAAACACAAACTTGGCTTCATACTGCAAGGCATTTGGAGGAGACGCTCCCTGGGTAATTTTAAGGCATGGTCATGCACACACAAAAGAAAGCATTGCATCAGATATCATAGTCTCAAGTTGTAAAGAAGTCTGTATGTTGAAGCCAGCACCTTGATTTTAGCTCAGAAGTGATCTGGTAGCCAGTGCAAACAAAATAGAATTGCTGGTTTTTTTTTTTTGTAGAAATTTTTTGGTCCAGGATTAAAACTGTTTGAGTCATATTTTGCATCAATTGTATTTTTGACAAGACAGCCTAACATGCAACACATTACATTAGGACAAGCAAGGACTTACAATTTCATGGATCTTCATCTGAATTATTCCTATCTGATTGTATTAACAGTACAGCATAAGCAACTTTTAAATGTAATTGATCAGGATTGTTTTAGATGGATTATAAAGACAATTTTAAGACTTACTAAATTTTTATTATTATTATTTATTATGAAAAATTAGGAAAAGGAGTTTAAAGTTACCATAAAGCAATAAATCATGTATTTGTATTTGGTAGATTACATAAATGGTGGAGAACTTTTTACCCATCTTTCACAAAGAGAGAAATTTACTGAAGATGAGGTGCGAATATATATTGGGGAAATTGTATTGGCTCTTGAACACTTACATAAGGTAAACCCACATTTCTATCTTTCTGAAGAAATTGCATTGAATTCATGGCAATTTAGCAAATAAACACTTACTGTTTGTAAATTTTGTGGGTTTGATGGATTTATTTTGGTTAGAATGAAGAAGTGCCTGTAGGCCAAAAAATAAATACTTAAAAAAATATAACATTGCTTGCACATGAAGAGGTTTTGTGTCAAATTCATGTAAATATACACAGGCCTGTGTGTGTGCATAACAAGTCACATTGTATTATAGTCTGTATTTACATGTAAATAAATATTTTAGATTGTGCAGTTTTTCTATATAAAATGCAGATTTTAAAATACTAATTATTACACCTCAGAGCACATAGATGTCTACTACGTTTAGTCTTAATGTTAATTTAATACTTGAAATACACATTTTAGGATCAAGTACAGTTTCCTCCTACTTTATTATGACGTTGCTTTAAATTTAATGTAGGCTATGTGTTTACAGTATTGTTATGTATGCTTTATGATACTCACCACTATATTGTGATTTGCATTTGTTTTTCCAGTTAGGAATTATCTATCGTGATATAAAACTTGAGAACATTCTTCTTGATTCTGATGGTCATGTGGTACTGACTGACTTTGGCTTGAGTAAGGAGTTCGTTGGTGATGAGGTAAATATCTACATGTCAATTAACTTTACATGGACGAGATATTTGACAAACATCCTTCACTAATATATATCCGCACTAGCCTAGAGATCAACCACAAAGTCTACACTCCTTTACTGCATAGGGTTCAATCTTTGTATAATTCACTCTCATGGAATATATGTTCCATCCATAATAGTTTTAAGATAAGCCTTAAAGACAATTTTCCATTACTGTGCTACTACTGCTTGAAAGTTGTGATTTGGGGTGGGCAGCTGTTCACTCCACAACCTCGGCTAGTATAGTATCTCATAAAGGATGATGATAATTCTAATGACAACTTCTGACTTAAACCATTATTGCTTTCTGTGTAATATAACATTTTAATTGTTTGATCTTACAGTCTGGATTGATATGCTGTTATGCTGCTACTTCAGTGCAGATTGGTTTATATTATTGTTTCATTTTAGAACTATTTTCCTCGCTCTTCGTGATCTGTCTTGTCCTGCAAACTGTCATAAAAATATCAGAAAAAAAGAAACGCAACATGTGACCTAAATATATACAAATGTTAAAATACGTGTCTTTTTTAAAATGAAGCAATAAATTAAAGTAAATCTGAGCATTTTCCTAAATCATTTTTTGAAATTTGAACTTAGGAGCTTTCTTTTAATAAAATTTGAGAGAGAAAGGAAAATTTTCTTGTGTGTGAAAAGACAAAATCCTGTCTGTCTGTAGTTGTCCATATGTAACTTCATCTTTCTCTGTTGAACCAGTTTGTTCCTTCATTTTTCAGAATAAGAGAGCATATTCCTTCTGTGGAACAATAGAATACATGGCTCCAGATATTGTCAAAGGAGGGGAGACAGGACACGATAAAGTATGTTTTGTCTTACTTTACATTTTGTCTACTAAATTGATTTAGTAGAATTTACTTTTGAGTATATAAAATGATTAGATATTTTATATTTTAAATATATTTCCGTATTTTGACTTTTTAAATCATATTTTAAATAATACGTTTAATTCTTTTTAAAACTTTTGTAAATGATGTATTCTTTTAATTCTTTTAATTATTGTAAGTCATCTTGAGAAAGGCAGGATAGAAATCCAATAATATAAATTTCAAAGTAGTTTTCTACTTTTTATATAAAAATTGCCCTCATTTATAGTACTATGACTCTTTTATATTATACCAGACTATTAGACTGCTTCAGTCATTCTTGGCAATTAAGAATTTTCTACAGTCACTGGTAGCAATTATCCAAGGTTTCAGAAAGAAAGCACTTTTTGCCGTGCTTGGGTATATCAGGGAATGAACTTGAACTCATATGCATGATCACTTTCCTATAGTATTTTATATAAACAACGTTAGAAATACTGTATTTTGAAAGGTGTAACCGGGAGAGAAAATTTTCTCTCTTTTTCCAAAATGTAATTTTCCTAAGTACATATTTAAAGAATTGGTCATTAACTTTCAGCATTGTGGAATTGCATGTACTCACTCTTCCCAGTGCAAATATAAAGAAAATTAGGAAATGTAATACGACTAGTATATTACCCTGATAGGCAGTGATTAAAGTAGACTGCAGCATAGCATGTTCTGTATACTAATTTCTTTGTTATTCCTTTGTATATTCTTTAACAATTACCAATATTTAACACATTGGAGTCCTAAGGGGCACATTGAATTAAAAATTGGGGGGGGGGGGATGAGTTATCATGAGAGCATGATAATGAAAGCACCAAGGTGCCAGTTGCTCTCAAATTGTCTCCTGGTTCAAACAGCGTAGGTAGCCTTGGTAACAACAGCCCTCCTGAAAATGCTGTTGAATGTAAAGTTCGGTGAATGAGAAAATAGCCACTCGTTTATATTAAGCAATTCTGGGTTTGGAATTCCCTTCACGGGAAGGCTAAAATTGTCTCTTGGTTTATTCTGACAGATGTTGGAAAACCACCTGTTAGTATTAAAGAAAGGGGTTTAGTAAAGTGATGTGGTATTTTGAACTGTCTTATGTTCTGATGTTTGTTTTGAATTGTTTTAACTTATTGATTGTTCCAATTTTGATAATATTTTGTATGTTTTGCTCCTGTTACGTCTGCTTTAATTTATCTCTTTGAATCCTGAAGGAAAGCCAGGATATAATTAAACAGAATCATCATTGTCATCACCTTATTTTGTTTTATAATCCAGTTTATAATTTCCTTTATCATTAATTTTCCTACTTGTTAAATAGCTACCAATGCGTTACTGTGAGTTTTCTGAGCTGTAAGGCCATGTTCCAGTAGCATTCTCTCCTGTGGAATGTCTAAGGTGGTATATATATACTCCACTTGCCTCACTGTCAACAGAACCTCTGAAGAGGCCAGCCATAGGTGCAAGCGGAACATCAGGAGAAAATGCTACTGGAACATGGCCATACAGCCCAAAATACTCATAGCAATCCAATAATTCCAGCCTTGAAAGCCTTCAATAGCTACCTTAATGTTTTTTTTAAATATATGTTAACATGTAATTGTTCTTTTATAGGCTGTTGATTGGTGGAGTCTGGGTGTTCTTACCTATGAATTATTGACTGGAGCCTCACCTTTTACAGTTGATGGAGAAAGAAATTCACAAACTGATATATCTAAGTAAGTTAAGGAAATAGCTGGAACTGCAGATCCTTTGATTGCTTTTTTTTTTCGTGTCAGGAGTGACTTGAGAAACTGCAAGTCGCTTCTGGTGTAAGAGAATTGGCTGTCTGCTAGGACATTGCCCAGGGGACAGCCAGATGTTTTTGATGTTTTACCATCCTTGTGGGAGGGTTTTCTCATGTCCCCGCATGAGGAGCTGGAGCTGATAGAGGGAGCTCATCCACGCGCTCTCCAGATTCGAACCTGTAACCTGTCGGTCTTCAGTCCTGCCAGCACAGGGGTTTAACCCACTGCGCCACCGGGGGCTCCTGATTGCTTTTAATACTCTGGTTTTCAATAAAATATATTTGTTACAGAATAGTTTATATAAAACTTGGTTGAAACTGGTGTACAACAAAAATTTAGTACACAGAATATAGCTCCATCTAGCTTTAGCTGTAGTCGTTGGTTTAATTTTACTTGAATCAAGTTTTGCAATAGTTACTTCTTGATCTCATGGAGTGTGGTAATGTCAAAAGTCCGTCTTCTTAGGAGTGTTGTAACCAGATTTCAAGATATGTCAGATACATGGTATGCATTGATATCACATTATGTGGTAGGTCATGCAGTTAAGTTCTAATTACCATATATACTCCCACCAATTGCAGGATATTTCATTAATGTGTGCTTTTTCAAATCAATTAATTATTACATCTTTTTATTAGGAGAATATTAAAAAGTGAACCTCCATATCCTCAAGAAATTACTAATTTAGCTAAAGATTTTATTCAGTGTCTTCTGATAAAAGATCCGAAGAAAAGACTGGGTTGTGGACAAGGTGGTGCTGATGAAGTCAAACAACATCCCTTTTTCCAGGTGAAATAGATTTAAATGTTGTTCCTTTTTGTTTTTTGAAGAGAGTTCCAGACCTTGGGAGCAGCCACCAATAAGGCCTTCCCTCATCTCCCCACCAAATGTTTGGGAAGATGGTGGAACAGTAAGCAAGGTTTCATTCTGAGACATGGGCAAGTTTGTATGCGAGAGTTGGGTCATTCATTCATATGACCTTGATCCTGAACTTTATAGGCCTTTACAGGTCATCACCAACACTGAATTCTACCTGGAAACCAATGTGTAAACAGGGTAGGTGTATCCTCCCTGTAGCTAACTGTAATTAGCAACCTGGGTACAGTTATTTGGACCAGGCAGTTTCCAAACACAATTTAAGGGCAGTTCAGTGTAGAACAGGTTTATGTTTCCAAACACACTTTAAGGGCAGTTCAGTGTAGAACAGGCTTATGTAATCCAAATGGGATGTAATTAAGGCATGTATTACTGTGGCCAGGTCTAAAATTCCAAGGAAAACTGATAGCCTTAACTGTGCAAATGCACTCCTGGCCACCACTGAGACTTAACTTTCAGCTCAGGATTGTGTCCAAGCTGTAGATGTCTGTCTTCAAGGGGGAGAATAACCCCATCCAGCACAGACTGAATCCCTATGTGGTCAGCAAATGACTTTCAACCTTTTTAAGAATATCTCTGAATTATGGTCAAAATGAACTTAAAAGATTCTGACGCTTTAAAAGATTTTAAGGATATGCAGTAAATCATTTATGGTTTAGAAGGCAAAAATACAATAGACAGAGAAAATGTATGTGCTCATTGAGAGGTCTAAACAGTAAATAACAGTACCTACACGGTTCCGGCCCCACCTACCTCTCCGAACGCATCTCCACCTATGAACCGGCGAGGACTTTAAGATCGTCCGGGGAGGCCCTGCTCTCGGTCCCGCCGGCGTCGCAAGCGCGGTTGGCGGGGACGAGAGACAGGGCCTTCTCAGTGGTGGCCCCTCGGCTATGGAATGCCCTACCAGTGGACATCAGGCAGGCCCCTTCGTTGCTGGTGTTTCGGAGGAGGGTTAAGACGTGGCTCTATGAGCAGGCGTTTGGACAACTATGCAATGACAACTAACTCAGTAAGACGGCATTGAACAAGGAACGAAAAAGGACTATGAGAACGGGATCTGATTCTAATTGAGGCGTTGATGACTTTGTGTGTTGTTTGTGTATGTGCGTCTTATATACTGTCAGTGTTGCCCTTTTTTACTGTAAACCGCATTGAGTCGCCGTCGCAGGCTGATAAATGCGGTATACAAATGGAGTAAATAAATAAATAAATAATACTTCCTTCAATGTTAAGAATAATCTTTGTTGCTTCTTCTGTGTTTTATATCTAACTGCACTTATTCAGTGAAACATTTTAGTGCTACCTTAAGCTACAATGCTGTATAGCTGGGGATAATCTCCACTAAACTTAATGGAGCTTTCAACGTTTTAGTTAAAATGCAAATAATTGCACTCTTAATTGCTTTCAAACTTGCTTAAATTATATGTGTTACTAGTTGAAACATGTTTAATTTTAATTTATTTCACTCATTCTTAAACTTAACATAATGTTTTCATTTAGACAATAAATTGGGATGACTTGGCTGCCAAAAAAGTGAGGGCTCCATTTAAACCAATAATACGTGATGAATTGGATGTTAGTAACTTTGCAGAGGAGTTTACCGAAATGGACCCAACATATTCTCCAGCAACCACCCCACAGGCTGCAGACAAGCTTTTCCAGGTAATTACTGCTTTATAATAATAATAGTGATTATGTAGTGAGACTAATTAGAAATTATATCAATATAGTGATATTTCAAAAGGTTCTTGAAGTGAATGACAAAATTTTAATACTAATTCAAACAAGTGGACTAAATAAACCTTTATAATTTTCCTTCATTGGTGTAGATAAATATTATGTCCATCATTGAAAGATATCATCAACAAAGATATGCTGCTTTTGAGTAAATATTCAGTTTAGCCGATGGTTGATACCTACAAATAATGAGTACAGATTGAAAATGGATATTAATTTAAAAGCATTTAAAGGCAAAAGGTTTGATTAGATATTTGAGCATGGTAGTCAAGAGTACACTTGAATTCCTTTTCTATAGTATTCAAATTACAACTCTGAAGTATATCCAACATCATTATATCCAGCATAAATTTAGCAGTATTTCAATGGGAAGTATGGGCCTGCTTTTGAATTTTGTTTATTAGAGTTTGTTTCTCAGTTTACTAAGATTTATATCATAAGGCTGATTGATGGATTTCAGTTTAAGCCTTCTCCCAGGCTCAGATAATCCATCCTTCTTCAGAATGGATTTCACTTAAATTTGTTATGTACCATTAGCAAAACAAACTAAAATAATCTTAACTGTATATATGCCATTAGCTGTATTGGCTAAGGAATAAGATAGATTTGTTGCCATTATGATAAAACATTTGGATATAAGTAATATATATTTACCATGTACATAATAAGAGTTGTACCATATCTGCTGCCTCAGCTGAAGAAAATGCTTCATTTTTTTTAGTTTGAAAGATGACTCAGAAAAGAAAAGTCCTGCAGTTAAAATGTACTTTAGTTCTTTTAATATCTTTCGAAGTACATTAAAAGCATTTAAGTGACAGAAGTATCACTTAATTGCTTTAAGGATCCCCCCCCCACACTTTTAATATTTTTTTAATGTTTGCATAGGTGTGTTTTCTAAGAAACTACACCTTCAAATATGCATTAAAACATGTAATGGATTAATTTAGGAATGGGATAGAATAGTCGTTTGACTTATTTTAATAATTGTACTTTATAACTTTATCTAGAAATTGACATTTTCAGGTCTGAGATATTTGCCCACTGCTGAAGTTTAGCTGTTGAGAAGAGATTTATATTGTTAGCATTCATCACCTGAACCAGTTACCTGAGTTCAGTCCCTTTCCTTTTTTTTAAAGGTCAGCAATCTCTTTCCAAACAGATCTGAAGCCACATAATAAGTACGAGTTTGTGTGCACAGATCAACCTTGCTAAATTGGCCACTCTTATGGATTTATATATGCAAAAAATATAAATAGAAAAATCTGAACTTTGAAATATATCAGAGTAATTGCACTGACATTTTAGAAATAGTAGGCTTGTATTTATTGGGTAAAAACTGAAGTTTGTCCAGTCATAATATAAACTTGCTTGATAACTTAACTATAGGTGTCTTGAGAAGCAGTTTGAAGTATGAACCTTTGTCACCAGTGAAAAAGCTGTGAGTCAGTTTTTCTAGCATTTTTTTACAATCTAATTTTAATTGATTTAAAACCAGAAGATAGTGCACTTTCTTTGAGGCAGGCTTCCTCTATTGTGATAATCTGGAGTTGCATAATTTCCTTAAATATGTTACTTTGTAATTATGATTATTTCTCTCCTTCTGAATATTGAGTACCATAATAATTCAAATTATGGGTAAAATTAAATAAATGTAATCTCTAAGCCTGCCAAATTTCTTTCTCCCCTTTTAGGGATATTCCTTTGTTGCTCCTTCTATTTTATTCAAACGCAATGCAGCTACTGTGGATCCTGTCCACTTTTTCACAGAGTTTGATCGACCTGGAGTTACAAGTATTGCCAGAAGTGCAATGATGAAGGTAACAGTAAGAGCTTAACTATCCACCTACCATTCATAGGAACTCAAAAGAAGTGTTGCTCTGCGGTGAATGTCAGTTTTGATTGATCAGTTTATTTATTTTATTTTTAAGGTCCACACAATAACCAAAGTTCTCAGGCTATTTTGCAAAGTATATGGCACATTGTACCAACACTTTATAAGTTTCCTGCATGTGCTCAGTCTCACATACAGATATAAAAATGTGCAAATGCATACTTATGATGGCCTTCCCATTAACGCTAGGTGTTTTGTGTATCATTCATATGTGCATTCGAGCACACAAAGTGTGGCTCATTTATGTGCATGGGTACTTGCTAGTAAGATATGATTAGAGAGAATAGAAGGGTTTGCTACTTAGCTCTGAAGAAAACTTTTTCCATTCCTTATGACCCAACTGGATTTATGCGAGTTTTCCGGATTGTATGGCCATGTTCCAGAAGCATCCTCTCCTGATGTTTTGCCCATGTCTATGGCAGGCATCCTCAGAGGTTGTGAACCTCATAACCTTTGAGGATGCCTGACATAGATGTCGCTGAAACATCAGGAGAGAATGCTTCTGGAACATTGCCATACAACCCGGAAAACTCACATAAATCCAGTTAATCCAGGCCATGAAAGCCTTCAACAACACATCGAACTGTTAGTGCCAATCATCTATTTGGTAGTAGGTGTGCTTTCATCATTTGCTTGTTCGCTTTATTGCTGTGAACAAGGATCTTTAGAGATGAAGCTCAGAATTGTGGATCTAAGCCACAAAAATATTCTGCATAGTTACATTTTAGGAAAATAGTATGTCACATGCTTATTTGTAACATATACTGTATATCTAGGGAATAAGAGGGGGTTGGTTAAGATTCTAACTTTTTAAAGATTTCCAGTAATATGTGGTCCTCCAAAGGTTCAAATGTATCATAATTAGATTTGTTTTGCCTGATAGTTCAATTTAAACTACCTAAAGGTAATAATATAAACAGCATTATTTATTTATTTATTTATTTACAGTATTTATACACCACTTTTCTCACCCCCTAGGGGGACTCAAAGCGGTTTGTTACATAATGACATTATGTAACAAAATTTAGAAAAAATAGACTGTTTCTGGTTTGAAAGTGTTATTCCTGTTTAATTTTACAGTGATTACTTTGAAAATAGTTATACTTCAGAAACTTCGTTTTTGTGGCTGTCACAAACTATGTTGAATTGGTTGAGATTTGATGGATATTAATTGAAAAATGATAGCAAAATGTGCTGTAGGATGTCCTGCAAAAACAAAGGTTTTGCAGTTTAATAAACATTTTCCATATTTTTATGATAGAACCAATTAGGAAATAACATTTATAACTCAGGAACAAAAATCACATTGCATAGCGTAGTTTAACTATTATCATGCATTTATCTTAAAATGAATCCCATAAATGCCCTCTATGCATTGCAGCCTTTGAAAAATATTCGAAAGATGAAGTTAGTGAGAAATTCAGAAGCCAGACTAATTGATTTTCGTGCTTCTTGGCAGGGGGTTGGACTGGACGGCCCATGAGGTCTCTTCCAACTCTATGATTCTATGTCAGGTATGCGTTTTAGAGGCCATATAACACCACTCTTGCAAGACTTGCATCCAGTTTGCTTCCAAGCAGAAATCAAGGTCTTTGTGCTGACTTATAAAGCCTTAGAAGGATGATAAAAACGTGGCTGTGGGATCGAGCCTTTGGGACTGTGTAATGAGGCAGTGATAGGAACTCTTAGTATGCCAACCAGATTTGATATGGTTGTTTTAGACAGTTTTAAGCAGAAGATTTTAATGTCAAGAAAAGTGATTTTAATGTTTTTGTAGGTGTATGTTTAGTATGTTTCGGCATTGAATATTTGCCATTTATATCTTGTGCTCCGCCTTTAGTCCCCTTCGGGTGAGAAGGGCGGAATATAAATGCTTTAAATAAATAAGTATTAAATAATTAAACAACATGGGGCCACCTTCTCTGATCTTTCCAGAAATTTCAGAAATTGCATGTCCCAATACCTTGTGAAGTTAGGTAAGAAGATTTTCTCAGTAATAGGGACTCATCTTGGAATCCTTCACCACTCTCAAGGAAGTCAGGCTAGCCTCCTATCTTTTAAGCTTCTGACACATTTGACATTTCAGTTTAACTATTTTAAAACTGAATACCACTATTGTTTTTAAACAGATTTTATCCATTTAAAAATATTTTAATGTATTTGAAATATTTTTATCTTTGTATTCTAACATTTTTATTTATTCATCACCTAGGGAGACCTTGTAAATACAGAAATACTTTTAAAGTAAGAAATTAATTAATTAATCTAGCTTACTTTGGAGCTGACAATCATAAGATTGCACTGCTTTTGTATCACATTCATTTTCATTCTTTTCTCGGGTAGAAAAAGACAGCATATCAGTGATACTGTGTAATATTATACCCCACTGATTAACTCAAAGGCAATACTGTACTTTTTCTGTTGATTCTGTTTGCCTAATGTTAAATACACTACTTATTCCTCCAGGATTCTGCATTTTATCTTCACTATGAACTGGATCTGAAAGAAAAGCCACTTGGAGAAGGAAGTTTCTCCATCTGTCGAAAATGCATGCACAAGAAAACTAGCCAAGAATATGCAGTAAAAATAATTAGCAAAAGGTATAAAGACACTGATATTTTTCTTATTATTTCTAATAAAATTCCATAATGCAAATGTAATTTTGTTTGAAATTTCTATTCCCAGGATGATTTATAACATTAAAAATATATTACAAGACAATGCAAAATTAAAAAGCATGTAACATCTACTTTAACCTGGATAAAATAAACAATTACAGTTTTAAAAATATAATTCTAGAAATATAAAATAAGCATTGTTGAATCAAATTACTGACTTTTAATGAAGGTTATTTGTGCCTGTATGATACAGATTTTATTATTTTTTTATATCCATAAATTCCAATAGATCAACTTTTCTTTGTCAAATTGTTAATGGCTAATCTTTTAAAAAATTCCAGGCTAGAAGCAAATACTCAGAGAGAAATAACAGCATTAAAACTCTGTGAAGGACATCCCAACGTTGTGAAGCTGCATGAAGTTTATCATGATCAGGTATTTTTAAAAGTAAAGAAACTACAGTTGAACTTAATAATAGTCTACATACTAAACTTTATTTAGACATGCCACACATTTTTATTGAAGAGTCTGAAGGATTCACTGTTCCTATGACCAGACTTCTTGCGATCAGATTCATTTGCTGCAACCTAATAATTTTGAAAAGTTGTTCAAGTTGTCCCATTCCAAATATATCAGTTTGATCTATGCCCATCTTGGTTAATGATATCTAGTAAAAGGAGATTGATTGGGTATGTTTGGGGAGTCATTAATGCCTAATTCTATCAGGGGATGGAAGCAATGGCATTTAAAGGCCTGATTGACGTTTGAGCTCTGCTTTGCTGTGGTACCCAGAGTGTGAAACACCCTTCAGCAGGCCCAACTGATATCAATATTGGCATCTTTCATCATAGGTCAACGCATGGTTTTGTACTAAAACATTTTAGGCCTAATAGATGTTAAACAAATTTAAACATGTGCATGTGCTTCCTGGCTCCAACAAAGCTGCGCAGGAAATGGGAATCATGGATGATTAAACAAATCAGTCACTTTCATTGCAAAGATGCAACAGAACATGTCCTTGGGGGACCTGCGCTTAGAACAGTGACTCATTTACCCCAGTCAACTTTTGCTTCTTATTTTGATTCTGGAAAAGATGTACTGCGCAGACTAACTAAATACTTACTAATAATGTCCAGCAGAGTATTGGATATTTCCCCTTTGTATTGTAAAATTGGTTTTCTAATATTTTTATGCAAATGTTTTGTTTCTAGCTTCACACATTTATAGTAATAGAACTACTGAAAGGGGGTGAATTACTTGAACGCATCCAGAAAAAGAAACACTTCAGTGAAACTGAAGCTAGTTACATCATGCGAAGACTTGTTTCAGCAGTTAGCCATATGCATGATGTAGGAGTTGTCCACAGAGACTTGAAACCTGAGGTATGATGTTGGGGAATAAGCAAAAATCTATGAAAACTGATCAACATCTTGCCTTGCTTTACTATCCGTGTTCTATATTTCAGCTTGCCTTTTTAAACAAGTGTATTTTTTGTGTTAATATAAACTAAAATAAAAAATGCATTAATAAAAATCTACTAATTCCTATCAGTGTATTAAAGCAGTTGAAGCTTTTTGGAAGAGAGATAATTGCTACTGCAATGTTCTTCCCAACTCTGGAGGCATTACCTCTGAGCTCCAGTTTTCAAAATGCCAGTTGCAGCTTACCAGGAGACTTATCATTTCTTATCATTTCTTATTTTCTCCCTTTCATTTATCCTTACTACCATCCTTGCCTTTTAAGTTTATCAGAGAAGGGCAGGATTGGTTAGGGTTGGTTAGGCAGGATAGAAAATACTATTGGAGGAAAGGCTGGGTTTTAACAGCTCAACTAAAAAAGAATGTTGGGTCTTTCCATTCTAGTTGGAGCGTGTGGGGGGGGGGGGTGAAATCCAATCTTAGTGGATTGTTCCTCCTGAGAATTAATAATTTTAGTAACAGTTTCTTCCTCAATTCCATTTTTTGATCCCATTAAAATTAGATTGTAGCCAGTCCTGGTGGTAATAATAATAATAATAATAATAATAATAATAATAATAATAATGGGGCTGTAGTCTGAAAATGGATCATAGGAGTTGTATTCCTAAAAGAAAAGAGCAGGTGCTGCAGGTCTTAGAAAAAAAGCTTCCTCCCGAATTCTTTGTATGTGAAATTAAAAGATAAGACCAGTGTTTGTCCGCTGCTTAAGCAAGTCAAGGTCAGCTCTAGCACGCCGCCTCCTTGGGAGCAGAAGAGAAGGGAGATTCTGGGAGCATATAGAGTTCTCCCTTCAATAATAAAATTTTATTTCTAACCCTCACTTCTCTCCCCGAAGGGACTTAGAGCAGCCTCCAAATATAACACAAAAGATGGCAAACATTCAATGTCGTAAAAATCAAACACTTTCAAAAACAGTTTAAAACATTTACACAAAAATTAATACAGAGAAAGCGACTTTGGCAGAAGTTATAAAACAGTTAGATATCATTGGTAGTTTGTTACTACTGACTAAAATTCCCAGCATATTCTGTGAGTGTTTTGTGTGTTTTGGTTAGATCCTTGTGATGATTTGCACCAGCAGTTCTTTGCAGCAGTCCAGCTAATTGATCATCAAGCTTATGTATACAGATCACTGGGTTGTTTTAAGTTTTTTTGGGCTGTATGGCCATGTTCTGAAGCATTCTCTTCTAGGAGAAAATGCTTCTGGAACATAGCCATACCACCCAAAAAACTTACAACAACCCGTTTCAAATTGTTGTTTTCAAAACTACTGGACTTTAATTGGGGAGGGGGTTAGGAAGATGCAGAGGGGGATGAGTCACCCAAAGGGCAATCCCAATTCTGATAATATAATAAATATAAAACTTTATTTATATACCGCTCTATCTCCTTGGGGGGACTCGGGGTGGTTTCCAAGCAACAACATCAAAACATACAGAGTCACAACATGATCAAAAAATAACAGTAACAGCAACATAAGCATTGAATTACCCAACAACACATAAATATTAAAAGAAAAAAATCCTGCCTACTCTTCATGTCTATTTCTTAGGGCATGGAAAAGGAATGGGTCAGGACAATTAAAAAGGCTGGGTCAAGACTGATACAATTGACATAAGATGTGGAAGCTCCAATTAGCACATTCTTGATTTCTTTCAGGCTCTTGAGCTTTGGAGACTAGTTTAATTTAAATGTTGCTTATATATGGTTTAAAATTGTTGTAACCTTTGAGATTTCCTTAACAGTTGTTCTTTTTAATATGTTTTATTTTGTTTACATTGTTTATGGTATTAATATAGAAATGTTTTAATTATTTATATTATATTATGTCCCAAGCTCCCACCATAGAAGACAAGATATAAGTTTAATAAATAATAAATAAAATATTCTGTTTGCATGTAATTAAAATGGTTATCTCCTGTACACATACAGTATAACGAGCATTTGTCTTCGCTTATGATTGTCATTAAAAGTCTTATTTTGGCTGCATAACTTCATAATTACTAATTTTAAAATTTGTTTTTCAGAACCTATTGTTCACAGATGAAAGTGATAATTCAGAAATAAAAATAATTGATTTTGGATTTGCCCGGTTAAAACCACCTGACAACCAGCCTCTTAAGACTCCATGCTTTACTCTGCATTATGCTGCTCCAGAGCTCTTGAATCATAGTGGTTATGATGAATCGTGTGATCTCTGGAGTTTGGGAGTCATTTTGGTAAGCTATACCTAAATTTTTATATAACTGATCAAATATTTGGGCAATGTGGAAGTGGAAAGCTCAATTATATATGTTAGTGAGCATTCATGTTTGAGTGGGATAATTATATCTTACTGGACAATTGCAGATATAATACTGGTCCTTTCTTAATCACAGTTTGATAATCATGAGGGAACTTGGTATCAGACCCATTTTGATGAGTCTTGTTTAATTTGAGTTTACTACATAAGATTCAATTTAAAGGCTCCTCTGACCCCTTTTTTGCTTTAAATGCCAGTAGTCTTGTCCCAATCTCATCAAGTGGAGCCCATTGCTTGGCCCTTCTTGTCATAAAATATTCCTCAATGCTATAGAAGTGTATTGCTGTCCTCTCTATACTATTATATGATCTGCTGATTTAGAATTCTTTTCTTTAGCCATCTAACAGATCTCACAAATAGAACAGGTATCATTTTAGAAAAGTTTCTGTTAAGTTCTTGACTTTTAGCCTTCTTCTTAACAACCTAAATCTGGCTTCCCGGAATTAACAACTACATGCTCTGGAGTGTGTGGAGGAGTAATCCACAAAGAACTGGGTTATATTCCCACATGGCAGCTTCCGAGGCAGGAGTTTCCCATTATTACCATTAATTCTACTTTGGTGCCAGGGGATATCGATTTGACTTGAGGAATTTATCCTTTCTAAGAGATTATTGTCCTCTATTTTGGAAAGTTGTCCTTCCCTGAAACTCCAGTTTTTCATGGAGAGGATTTGGGATGTTGAAATAACTTTCCTGAAACCACGTCCACCAACTTGTTTGCCTGTAACAACTTCTCCAGGTGTGCTATCCTGATGGATTTGCCCTTTGAGATCCAGGAGTTCATTGCATTGTTCATCAGACTGAGAATCGTAAATATGACACTTGGTGCAATAAACTGAGTAGTACTACATCCCTGCCAGTTTTACATGTGTTTTGCTGCTGTTGCTTCATGTTGTTGTTGAGTTTGTTTACCTAGATATATTAACTGATTCTTACCAATGATTAGCTGAGGTTAGGGAATTACTGAGTTCACCATGCTTCTTCATCTGATCCTAATCTTGTACAGGGACTTAGCATATGCATTTGTGCTTTACTCCTTTTTATTGGATGCTTTGTCTCTGGTTTAAAACATCAGTGAGGTGAGTAGGGAGCTTCTGGAAGCCTGTCTTACTTGCAATTCTTTGTTGAGATATTGATTTTTTAAAACCTGGTTGAGAAAGTAATTTCTGCAGGACACACTACACAAAAAGTACCAAAAAGGCTGTGTATTTGAAGTTGGCAATTTTCTTATTCGTTCCAAACAAACACATTCAGTGTGGACATTTTCTAGCTTTCAAATATACTAATTTGTTTCAATTTTTAGGATATATTAAAATTGTTATGTAAACTTCAGCTTGCAAATATATATCAACATTTTAATGTAGATGGATGAAAGTGTGTTTTGGGGGCCCACTTCAGCAATCTGGATTCAGAGCTAGTTGAATTTGGATCAAAACCATTTTGATTTAGAATTGAATGTCAATTAAAATTCAGAATATGACTTTTCATCTATTGCTCTTTGATTTACGCTGGGAATCCAAAATTGCCATAACCCTTATGGTTTTCTTTCACATGCGCACAGGATTTAAAGATGTCATAGTCCTACAGAGGGAAACAAGACCAGCATTTTGCAGTTAAATAGAATCATAGAATCATAGAGTTGGAAGAGACCTCATGAGCCATCTAGTCCAACCCCCTGCCAAGAGGCAGAACAATTGTGTTCAAAGCACCCCCAACAGATGGCCATCCAGCCTCTGTTTAAAAGCCTCCAAAGAAGGAGCCTTCACGACACTCCGGGGTAGAGTGTTCCACTGCTGAACAGCTCTCATAGTCAGAAAGTTCTTCCTAATGTTCAAGTGGAATCTCCTTTCCTGTAGTTTGAAGCCATTTCTCTGTGGCCTAGTTTCCAGGGCAGCAAAAAACAAGCTTGCTCCCTATGACTTCCCCTCACATATTTATACATGGCTATCATATCTCCTCTCAGTCTTCTCTTCTGCGGGCTAAACATGGCCAGCTCTTTAAATTACTCCTCATAGGGCTTGTTCTCCAGACCCTTGATCATTTTAGTCGCCCTCCTCTGGACAAATTGTCAATATCTCCATTCAATTTCGGTGCCCAGAATTGGACACAGTATTCCAGGTGTGGTCTAACCAAGGCAGAATAGAGGGGTAGCATGACTTCCCTGGATCTAGACACTATACTCCTATTTATGCAGGCTAAAATCCCATTGACTTTTAGCTGCAGCATCACATTGTTGGCTCATGTTTAACTTGTCCACAAGGACTCCAAGATCTTTTTCACATGTACTGCTGTTGAGCCCATTCTGTATCTTTACATTTCATTTTTTCTGCCTAAGTGGAGAGGTTGTGCCAGGTATCTTTATAAAGTTGCCTTAAAATGGTCATAATTTCTTTTCATTTCCAAAAAACTGAATGAAATTTGGAGACAATTACCTTTGGCATAATAACAAATGCACATCCTGACATATATTATGTTTGTTATATGTATGCATTTGTTGTTATGGACTTTCAAGTTGACTCTGACTCAGCAACACTATCATAGGATTTTGTTGGCAGGATTTCGATACTGAGAGAGTGTGTTTTGCCCAAGGTCACCCAGAAGATTTCCATGGTTTAGCAAGGATTCAAACTCAGGTTCCCTGGAGTTCTGGTCCAACACATGAATCACTATACTTTGCTGTCTCGCAACAAGTAAACCTATGGTATGGTTGCCATCAATTGGGGTGGATTTGAAGCTATATAGCAACAAAAATGTGTGTATGTGTGTGTATATATATAAACAGAAAGAGAGAGAGCTTAATTTAGTCTTCTTTCTTTTCTGAAAAGTATACAATGCTCTCAGGACAAGTGCCCTTCCAATCTCAAGAAAAAAATATAACCTGCACAAGTGCATTGGAAATCATGAAGAATATTAAACGAGGGGAATTTTCTTTTGAAGGGGATGCTTGGAAGAATGTGTCTCAGGAAGCCAAAGATTTGATCAAAGGTATATACTGACCAAAAACTTCATCAGGGTGTTCTTTGTAATTCCAGTACCTGTTAGAAGTTTTATTTTTTAAAATTTACTAAAACTATGGTCATTTCTTTCTAATGTTGACGTAATCTAGGATGTTGGCACAAGTCTTATTCTGACAGGCTTTACTTCAAGACTTTCACATGAATATCCGATCTATGTGGGGTTTTTTTAATTGAATGATTTGATGACAAAAACTCATATTACTACTTCCGGACTACAGCTGTTGCAATAGTTAACATGATTTTCCAGATAGTATAATGCTATTTTTTGCAGATTCTGTAAATACACAATAGAAGTAGACTGTTCTAAGCAGTTTATTTAATAGGGATTCTCTAACTGTAAAATGCCCAAGCTTAGTAACAGGATTCAGTCTGCAGTGCTATCATTTCCTAAAATTTGTTAATATGCAAGTATATCTCAGTCAATGAAGTCGGCACATTCCTGAGCATTAGACCTTTGAGAGAATATTTGGTACCAGATAGAAATGACATGGCAAAAAGAAGAGCTTAACATCTCTCAGTAAATAATTTATTGAAAACTAATCATAAGCACTAATAAAATGGGAAAAGGTAGATGTATAACAAAACAATTTTTGATTCTATAAAAAAACTGTTTGAAGCTTCACATGAAACATCCAGGAATTTTTCTTTCTTTTGCCAGCCTCCACTTTTTTTGTGATTTCCATTTTGGTGGCCAAACCCGTAGATCTGTTGTTTTGTAATATGTTGGGAATAGCTAATGACATGAGTTTAATTATTTTCCTCTATTCTCTCGGTGTTGCTTTTGATTCCTTCTCAGTAGGGAGTTCTGGGGATAACTGCTTGCGTACCTTACCTGTTGTATGCAGGCACACAGCTACAAAAGGATCAGCTTTTCCCCAGCACATTTTTTTTTGTTTTTTGCATTATTTACTGGAGTCACACTACTGCAAGTGGACACTGATAGTCGGGTTTCTCCAGCCTTCCTTTGCCATCCCCCTAATCCCCCTATGCTGCTTAAAAAAAGATCTGGCTAGAAAGACAATAAGGAAGAAACGTGGAATCTAGTAAGGTGTAAAAAGACTTTATAGAAAGGAACTTCTCTGTCAAATATTTTAGTAATTGAGATATGGTTCTATAGCCATACATCACATTATCAAAGCATTTTATTTTCAATGAAAATTTTAAAAATATAAATAGTAGTTCATTGATTTAAATATGTCTGATCAATTCCTATTAGGACTTCTTACAGTGGATCCAAATAAGAGAATTAAAATGACCAGTCTGAGATACAATGAATGGCTTCAAGATGGTAGCCAGCTGTCATCCAACCCATTAATGACTCCGGACAATTTGGGATCTTCAGGAGCTGCTGTCCACAGTTATGTCAAAGCAACTTTTAATGTAAGCTCAACATTAATTAGATGCTTGTTTGGTAATCTATTGACGTTTAAAGAAAGAGTCATGTTAATCCCACAAATGAACATTACATTTTTATTTATATAGATTATTTACTGATTTACCCTGAACTATTTTTGGGGCTTTTTGGGACTTTTTTTATGTCTCAGTTCCAGTAGTTTGAACTTATGAAATATGATCTTGTAGGTTTGAAGTAGTATTTAAGAGAAGGGAAATGGAAGTGAAATATTCACCTGGATCTATCCACCAGATAATTCTTTGGGGAGGGTGAACTTTTGATAGCCTTTATTGTCGTGTGCTCAGCCACCCTTGCATGTGTGTTTCCTTGCCCATCTTCACCTGAGTGTATGTCCTATGCTGCCATTACACAAATGTATGTGCTAATGCTGGGCTGTCCTTGTTCAGGTGTGTCTGTATGCTAAACTCTCCTCTCCCAAGTGTGTGTCTAACTGCCATTCTCTGAGTGTCTGTGCCCGTATTCCAGGCTGCCCTTCGTTCAGGTGTTCTCATGTGTGTCCCCGGGCCATTCTCATCCAAGTGTGTGATTATAACATAGGCTGCCATTATCTTAATGTGAGTGTATGTGCCAGACCACCCTTGCCTGGGTGTGTATGCCTTTGCTTGGATATCCTCACGTAATTGCGTATGTATCTGCTGGGCTGCTAAATTTAGCACCACAAGAGTGGATCAGGCCTGTCATTGCCTTCAGGATTTTAGTGGTTTGAATATAAATCCAATAGTGCTGCAGGAAATTTGCTGACAATTTGGCCATCTCTGGCCTGGGCCTAAACAGTTTTATTTTGAGGAAATGATATGCTAATTTTGACAGTTGGGAGTCAGGTAGCTGTATGCTGTTTCCATTTTGTCTATTTTGGTTATAGAATGACCCCAGTCAGTGGCACTATAGGGTGGAATCCCTGTTGTTAAAATGCTACCATCCCTTCCTCCATAAAAATCAAAAGAAAATTAATCATAATTAAACATTTCCTCCATTATCCAATATCATAGCATTCAGGAATCTTAAAGGGCATACCTTTGTTGGAAATTTTCTTTTATATTTTTGTGTTTTAATCAATTACAAGAACTGAGTCTAGTTTGTTTGTACACCATTTAATCTGAATTTGGCATAGGCTACTTGGCAGTATGGTGGAAGAGATACAGTCGCAGCTCTGCTGGCTGCTATCCTTATGATTATGTACCAGCAGTAGTTCGCAGATGTTTCCCTTCATAAACTGGTAGAGGCCTGGTGTTTAGTGCTGCCTACAACCAATCCCCCATCTGGAATACACATAAACATGGGTCTCAATGAGATTCTGGATTGTTGGCTGATGCTGCCTTCTTAGGTTGATATCATTTATCAATGTTGCCATCTCATGGCAAATTATAGTAACTATGGAAAGTTAGTGTGCAAATGTTACAGAAGCCATTTGGTCATTGTAATGTTGCATGCTACTAGTGGGCCCTCCTGCATTCTTTTTGTGATGCAAGGCTGGGCTTTCACAAATCCCAAATCCCACTTAGGTTTATAGCTTAGACAAGGGCCAAAATGGAGATTTAGAGTAAGTTGTACTCAGTTTAAATATTTTCGTTATGGAGGGAGGGTGTTTAATGTAAAATGGGACCTTCAAAAGACCTTCACATATCAGTTTATTTTACAGGGAAATGGTGCTAAGGGTTGGATTTGTTTTGGGGTGTGGCATGTGAGTTAGCTCTTGGAATTTTTCCAATTGCGATGACAGTTTGGTTGTGGACTGCCAAAGTCACATTTTCTTAGTCTATTTTGGTTATACTATGACCCCAGTCAGTGGCACTATAGGGTGGAGTCCCTGTTGTTAAAATGCTACCATCCCTTCCTCCATAAAAATCAAAAGAAAATTAATCATAATTAAACATTTCCTCCATTATCAAATATCATAGCATTCAGGAATCTTAAAGGGCATACCTTTGTTGGAAATTTTCTCTTTTATATTTTTGTGTTTTAATCAATTACAAGAACTGAGTCTAGTTTGTTTGTACACCATTTTATTTGACTTTTTAAACAGGCCTTTAACAAGTACAAAAGAGAAGGATTTTGTCTCCAGAATGTGGACAAGGCACCTCTTGCAAAAAGAAGAAAAATGAAAAAGACAAGCACAAGTACAGAGACTCGCAGCAGTTCTAGTGAAAGTTCTCATTCTTCCTCCTCTCATTCACATGGTAAAACTACCCCTACAAAGACACTGCAGCCAGCAAATCCCACAGACAGCAATAATCCAGAGGGAATCTTCCAGTTTTCTGAATGATGAATAAAAAATAATTGGTTTTTTGAGGTATAATTAAATGGGTTTAAACTTACTGCAATGTGAGCACCTTTGAACATAGCCCCTGTTTCAGTTGTGTCTCACAGTGGCATGTTAAAATTCTTGAATCAACGTTCAAAAAAGTGTTTTAGAAAAAGTTCCTGTAAATTGTTTTTAAGCTGCCTGAAACAATCAAGAGGAGTAATTCTGCACATGGAAGTAGAGCTTCTTTTTCCTCACACAAATTGATCTTTTTATAGTTAAGGGGAAAACTAATAACAGGGAGAAGTACAGATGAAGGGGAAATTACTGCTTGATGATTGAATTTATCTGAGAGGCTGAACTCTTGGACAGATTAAAAGGAACAGAAGAAAGTATAGCTTTTGAATTTGAAATGCACTGAATTGGGGTGGAAGTTGTGCATGGATAAGTTACCCAGAACTTCCCATGTATACCTTTGTTGAAGCACAAGCCCCATTTGTGTGAGGGCACAGATGGCCAGTCAAAGAACCACAGTTACAGACAAGCTACCTGTTCTTTCTCATTGTACACTGAGGAAACAGAGAGTCAACTGAACTATCAGAAATCTATTTACCAATAATAGCATCCTGGGGAGTATGGAGACCTCTAAATTATGGCTGCTTTTCTTTGGAAATTTCTCATCTTTAGAAAAAGAGACAAAATATATGGGCTAAAATGAAAAATCTATGCTTCCATGTATGTAGCAGTGATTTTCCGTATGCTACATCCAAAGATTTCAGCATGTGGCATGGATACAAAAGTTCTGGCAAAAGACATATGCAACAGTTCAGATAGTACTTAGTCTGAGTAACAAGTATGCAGAACTGTATAATTTCTTCTATTCTACACTTTGGCTACTGTCTCTTTTCTAGTTTCAAAGACTGTTTGGTGGTTTTAGTACCATTGTAGAGTTGATATGCTTGCTTGGTTTGCTTTGTGAGCATTCAGTACTAAAACCACGTGCTAAGGTTTTTTGAACAAATATTTATATTTATCTTTATTCCTATTTTGAAATGTAAAAATGAGTTTTCTTATATAACACTTCTATATTCCTGTTTATCATATGGGTCCAAAACTTAAGCATGCTGTGATACATAATACATGTGACAGTTTATGCTCTGGTGGTAGCATACAATTCAGAGTTTTTAAAATTCTGCATAAACGCCTGCATGATTTAGTACACTTGTAATTGCATTTGATGAGCTGCAAAAAAAATGTGAGTGTCTTAGAGAGGATGGAAAACTTGCTCTAGCAGTTTGAGTTAAGAATTATGAGTTTATTGCACCATGCAGCCATGAAATATTAAGGTTTTGCTTTCCTGTCATGATTTCCATACCTATATGCAATACTCTTTTAATTTGCCCCCTTTCAAGTTGGGGTATCTTTTAACTTTAAACAATTTATGCACTGGGAAACCTATAAAGGGATTTGTTATCAAACACTGTGCGTCACAACTATACACTGTGTTTCTCTACAGCAACTTATTTCTTGTTGTAGTTGTGATAAAGGATGCTTTTTAATGATGAATTGTGAGGCATAATTGTCAGTATGTGCAGAGCTTCTGTACTCTGCAAATTTTGCAAACATTGCTTGAAAGTCCTATTGTGCATTCAGTCGGACAATCTACATTAAACGTGTACATAGATGTCTGCATGCTCCAGGTTCACCCTGCAGATTTTAAAAACAACTTGCTGCATTGTAAAATAACCTATGCAAAACAATAATTGATACATGTATATATAGAAACTGTATTTCTATACATGAGTTGTCTAACATTGCTGCATCTCTCACCAGCGTTTTGAAAAATCTAGAGCAGACTTGTCTATGGAAATGGATGGAAAGACCACATTATTTTGTGTTACTGTATTATTATGGACAACATTGCCAGTCAGAGTGAGATAACACATACCGGTAGTCCAAGATATATTTACTGTGTGGTCTTTCAGATTATTAGCATTGTTTTGTCTTGTTTTAATTTAGGAAAATTTGGTTCTGTTATAGAAAGTTTGCAATCAGACATCAAATGTGATCCTATTCATGTTTACTCAGATGTAATTTCTACTGGGTTCAGTGAAGCCTAACTACCTTGCAAGGGTACATAGAATTTCCATCTGAATGTTTTTTGCCCTGAAGTTGTGGGAATGACTTAAAAATTTGAAATTCCAACTTGAGCTTTTTCACATTTGGGATTTTTCCCATAATTCAAGATAACATGCAGCACATAATTAACACTGTTTGTCCACCGGATGTGCCTTGGCTTCCACACTGTGTTTAGGAACCTAACTTACTCATGCAATGTGTAAGTATAGACAGGACAGAAGCTGGCATTTATTTATTTATTTGGCAGATTAAATGGAAACTCGTGAGAACATTTCTATTATGATCCTCTCATGGGAGAAATGTCTCCCTTTTGAGTTTGAGGGTTTCCCAGTTCTGCAACATTACTTTTGTGAATGTTTACTTGCAGACAGACCCTCATCGAACTCAATGGGATTTACCTTTAGGAGAAGCATAGCATTGTGCTTCTGATCAGATACTTCTACATCACAACTTACAGGCAGATGGAAACTGTACTAAAATTGTACTGTTTACATTATCCTGATATTTTATGTAACGATAGCACAAGCAACTCAAGATGGCTCATTTTAAAACATATGATACTGTGCCAGTATTTAATTCAGTTTTACTTGCTGAATCACTCTTAGTGAATATGACTTACATAATGAACCATTTTCCTTCTGATGAATATGCAGCTAGTATCAAACATATGCAAGTAAATGTTCAGTGAATTACACACACATATCTTGCTATTCTTTCCCAATTTTGTATTTCACTGTGAAGATTATATAAATTATATTTTAAAATAAAAATTGCAGTGGTTCATTAGACCACATTAGAAACCATGAACTCTGCTTTAAATTTATAAGTAAGTTAATGCATTTTAATATCAAATCCATTTTGAGAAATGGAAGTAACTGGTGTTTTATATAAGAGCTTCATTAAAATATTAATAAAATGCACACAGTAATGTATTAATTTACTGTTTCTCAGGAAAAGGGAATTCTAATTTTTATTTCCATAGTTCTCTTGCATAGGCAGCTATCTTGAAAGCTCACTGAGCTTCTTCATCTTTTTTTAACCACTGTGGGGAAAAAAACTTCGATGTAATCATGAGTGCATATTCAAAAACACTTCGCTGACTTTACAATTTTGAATTTGAATAACATACATTCTCTGACCTATATAGGTATAATATTTTAGCTAGAGAAACTGGTGGTGATTAGAAATTTAATTATACTGTACATATGCAGTTGAAAATGTTAGGCCTTTGGAGGACATGACCAAAATCCTGCAGTAACTATTGCCAGTTGTACTCAATATAGAAGTTGTACTCCAGAAAAGAAACTTTTTTCAAAGTTGGTGTTACTTCTAACAGCTTTATTTATTAAAACAAATAGTTTCTTACTATTCTACAAATAGTAGAAGAGTAGGGGTGGCAAGTTTCCTATTTCCTAATCCCCTTGTGTAATGTTTTGTCTTGTTTGTACCAGGATAGAGCATCATGGGATTTTTGGACATTACCTCTTCTTCGCAGTGTGTCACTGCTGGGGACAGAACTGTTGGCAGTTCCATTCTGTGATAGTATAAGGCAGTGGTTCTCAACCTGTGAGTTCCCAGATGTTTTGGCCTTCAACTCCCAGAAATCCTAACAGCTGGTAAACTGGCTAGGATTTCTTGGAGCTGTAGGCCAAAACACATGGGGACCCACAGGTTGAGAACCAATGGTCTAAAGATTAACAAATTTTACAGGAATCAGAGAAAAGGCATACTTAGGATATGCAATTTTCCAAGCCCTGTACCAAAGTGAGTGGATACATTTTGGTAGTTTGATCTGTACATAATATCGTACTCTGAGTCAACAATGTGCTGCCACCTATAACTCATGTTTCAGTTTTTTATTTGGTACCTTTTGGAAACTAATTGTTTGAACTGCTATAAATTTAAGCTTAATGTACTAAGGCGACAATATTCGGTCTGGTCTGCATTAATCTCACAAAATTTTAGGGTCTGAAGTGACATGGCAGCAGTGTAACTCCATATTTTGATCTCCAATTCATTTCTTACTAGAATAATAGAATCATAGAGTTGGAAGAGAGCCAGAGGGCCTCTTTGATTTTGTGCTGTGCAGGAACACAAAATCAAAGCATTCCCAACAGATGGCCATTCAACCTCTGCTTAAAAACCTCCAGAGAAGGAGACTCCACCACCTTCTGAGGCAGATTATTCTACTGCTGAACAGCTTTGACCGTCAGGAGGTTCTTCCTAATGTTTAGGTGGAGTCTCTTTTCCTGCAGTTTGAATCCATTACTCCATATCCTAATCTCCAGAGCAGCAGAAAAGAAGCTTACCCCCTCCTCAGTGTGACAGCCTTTCAAATAAACATGGCTATCATGTCTCCTCTCAGCCTTCTCTTCTCTAAGCTAAAATGCCCAGCATTCCTTGTAGGGCTTGGTTTCCAAACCTTTGATCATTTTGGTTGCTCTTCTCTGGACACTGTCCAGTTTGTCAATATCCTCCTTGGATTGTGGTGCCAGAACTGGACACACTGTTATTCCAGCTGGGGTTTGACCAAAGCAGAATCGAGTAGAACTAGATTGTGCTTGAGTTGCACAGAGATGGACCAATATGTATATCATGTCTACTATATCAGTAAATTAAAGGACAGTTTAATAACTTATTTGAAGTAAGTTGCTGAATCCTGGCACGTAAATGGAAAAATCTGTCTTAACTATACCTTGTAACCATATAAGATAGGTAAGCTTAATGGGGACAGAATAAGATTTCCAGATTTAAATATTTGTTATGATTAGTTTATTTGGAAGCTATGTCATAACTAAATATATCTTTTACTTAGTTTTTTCAAAAAAATATTATGTATCTCCAAAGGTGCTAGTACTGTCGGGCTGTGGAATGTAACAGAATTGTTTCATTGGTTTTTGTGTGCTTTTATTAACTGTGTTCATGTTCTTAGTATTATAAGTGGATGTCCAAATCCTGTGCAGTTAATTTAATATTTTCAATTGAACTGAAATCAGTAGGATTTATTTACTTCTGAAGCTGGACTGCATGGAAGTTTGTCTGTGCAGCCCCATTGGTTTCTCTGTCCTCACTGGCAGCTTTTTGATAGAAGGCAAGGGCTTTCCCTAAAACTGTTACACGAGGTGCTTTTAAGTGAGCTGAGATGTGCACCTTGCTAAGTAAGTGTGGTTTTAGATAAGGAATTAGTAAGCTGGGACACTAACGTATATTTTACAATAAGATGACAATGTTTTAGGTTTTTATTTTAATCTTTTGATCTTTTTTCAAAGTGTAATTATAAACATATCATATGGTACACTTTAAATCTACACACTAATTAGATACTGAACATCACCAGATTATGTCATGCATTCTTTTAATAACAATATTTTAAAGATCTAATGCACAAGAATTAAATGTCCATGAATTATGTTCAAATATTGTAAGTATTTCAAATATTTGAAGGCAAGATCTTATATGTGATTAGACTTATATTAAAAGTTATGTATTGGTATGGAGTGAAAGAAGATTCTGGGTCTGACCCATTAGACATTCATAAATAGTTGTTTAAAAATTTAGAAATGCCTCGTGTGTCCTCAGATAATAGAAGTAGACTGGTTAATGCAGTTCAGTTTCTCTGAGCACATATTTTAGCCCACATGGATGGATTGTATGTCAAGTCAGGTTAATCAGTGTTTTGTAATATAAACACTTTGGTTTTACGTAAAATAATATTTATTTGGTAAATCCCAAGAATAAGAATTAAAATGAAATTATAGGTGCAATAACAGAGACCTTGTCTTTTAGGATTTTGTTTATTTTAAAAAATAGCACAAAGAAGTAATTATTTGATACTTCTAAATGTTTTATTTTTATATGTGTAATCATGGACACAATTTTATTGAGTAGTCTTAAATAGAAACCAAATGATATTCTTATTAAATGCTTCTTTCCTTGAATAGTTCCTTTTGTTAGGTTATTAGTTCTTTATTATTGAAACCCAGAGAAAATAAATGGACCTTTCTTCACGCTCTTCTTATGTGTGGCCAAACCAGCTCTGGAGACTCTGTGCTCCCTTTTTTTGGTGGTGGTAATGGTGTAGATGTCTATAAGGTGGAAGTCCCACAACAACATTCGATATTTAGACCTAAGATTGCTATGACATTAGCAAGAGTCCCTCCAAAAATCTTACGTTACTAAAACCTATTTATGTTTTTTTCTAAATTTCTTGGAGATTGTGTATTTTATATATGTATTATCTAATTATTATCTATAGTTGACACCAACAAGATGTTCTGTAGGGTATTATGATAGTATGATGAAGCAGCATAACATAATTGGTGAGCTATGCTTCTGATACAATTGTTCTATTCTTGTATTATGATCTTGTTAAAATGCACAGAATACAGAGCTGGCTCTGACATATGAACATCATGAGTTCCAAATTCTAAGGAGAAAGGGAATTAATGTAGGCTCTTTCTGGGCTGCTTCATCATCAGTGTGTTCTTTAATAGCAGATTGACTTGATGAGAAACATCTGAATGAAGCCTGCACTGTGGTGATTTTTTTTCTGGTGGGTCCAGAAAGCAAATGCAAGGGGAAAACCTAGAATAACTTTTAGCAACATAGTCTGCTGTTGGAGAAG